GATGGGCTTGAACATTGCTGGGTATGGGACTGTATCGCACTCGACAGGATAGGGTCGGACCACCCCCAGCTTGTTCATGTTCTGCTAGAGTTTCAAAGCGTTGAGTTGGCTTTGGAACCCATCGAACATCTTGTCATGGGCACTACCCCCAGTATGCGACGTCCCTAGCGATGTCTTGGAAGAGTAATCAGATTGTGGTCCGGCATTATTCTCCATTTCAGTCGCTGGACGATGGGGAGGTATCCACTCCTTACTCCTCGTCTGCCGCGGTAAGGTATGCTGGGCTCTTTTCTTCATCTTCTTCTTGTTTAGAAGCTGCTCCAACATTTCCCTTAAGTAATCGATGGTCGCCTGTTGTTCTTTGAATTTATGGGCCACCGTTTGTTCAGGCGTGGGTTCAGCTATGTGTACCCTTGCCAGCGCGTCCTGACTTGAGTGCGATGTTTGGGACGTGGCTTCTGCTGAGCAAGTCTCATCCCTATCGTCGGAGGGAGCTGCTAAAGTTGAGTAATCGAACCCAATGCTCACCCCTGTGCGACTGCGGGTATGTTGGTATATACCGACTTGCCCACGTCGAACAAGTGGAGAATTAGGCCCCAGGAAGGAGTCTGAATCCGGAGAACCAGAAAGCATGGCCTTACCCCTGTCCGTCATGTTGATTGTAGCGGACGGGAGTTCTAGATCATCAACGGCGTGTCCTTTTTGGTGACGATGTCTTCGACGAGAAGGTCCTTGTCGGGAAGGCCATTGAGAAAGCCTCTCGAACACTGAAGGTTCCGCCGTTCCTATACATTGGCAGTTGGTGAGTACTGTTTGGATAAGCCTTTTGCAGTGGCACTAAGGATTCACCTAATGTATGGTGTGTTTACGAGTTAGGTAACGCCAGAAGTCTTCTACGGGTGGTTGACGACAACCCCCAACATCAAAAAGATCGCCTGAATGATCCCACGAAAAAGTTTTGGATGCACTCCATGGTGTACACTGGGTGGAATGGTTAAGTGTTGGAGTTGGGCGAGTTTGCCTTGGTAGGTGAGTCTTTGCGCTTGGGTGAACTCCAGCATGCAGGTGAAACTCAACCCCTTGCTTACGCAGGCGAGTTTGTGAGGTATCACCTACTGCTTTGCCTTTGTAGTTAAGGCTCTCCCACTTGTTATACTTATCCGTCAAGGGGTCATGGCGAGGCTCGCTCGTCCTTTAAGTGTTGGAGTTGGGCGAGTTTGCCTTGGTAGGTGAGTCTTTGCGCTTGGGTGAACTCCAGCATGCAGGTGAAACTCAACCCCTTGCTTACGCAGGCGAGTTTGTGAGGTATCACCTACTGCTTTGCCTTTGTAGTTAAGGCTCTCCCACTTGTTATACTTATCCGTCAAGGCCCTCTCGCTTGTTACACTTATCCGTCAAGGGGTCATGGCGAGGCTCGCCCGCCCTTGAGGGTTCGCCTACTCGGGTATGATCGCTCGTTCGGGGTGGTCTGTTCGCATCAGGGATGTGACCTGAGAAGCGAAATCCACCTAAGTGGGCGCTCTCATCCATCTTGGTTGGCGCTCCTGATTTGGAGAGCCTTCTAGTGCCGAGCAAGTTGCCCCTTCATCTTACACTCTTCGAACCTGGGTAATAGTTCAGGCCATCGTATGAGGCGAAGGCTCGGGCCTCCTGTCGGGCGAGGGCCTGTCGTTGTCGCTGGCGAGCTCTTCTGGAGAGAGGACCGTCCGTGCGGATTATGGCGGCATGGTCTGCGCCAGAATGAACCACTATTTCCTCCCAGGAGGGTGTCTACAAGGGTCGTTTAGCGACCCATCTGGTAGTCTTTCGCCCCGTGTTCTCGACCTCTGGCTTGGCTTTGATCAATTTGGAGAGAGTGGGCTTCCCCAAGGTGACTCGGGTAGAGTCTCTAGGCATGGAGGCTTTGACCGTTTGAGGTCGGCCTCTACGCCCGACTTTGTGGCATTTGCGGGATGCATCGCCACCAGGGGAGGAAGAAGACAAGTACTCTTCGTACTTGGCTTGGTCGAACTTGATTTCTAGGGACTCCACAGTCCTCCCAACAGTAACCTCATCGAACTGAGCTACCACCATTTCGGTTGAAGAAACAGATTCTCCCACTGTGGTCGCCATCTTCTGTAGGTGTGAATTTCTGATCTCCCGAAATAGGGATTTTTGTTTGTATTGATAAGAACAACTTCTTATAAACTAATGAATCAAAAATTACAACAGAAGCGGAGGGAACGCCCTCCTTGTTTAACGTGGGGACTTTTGGTAGCTATAGGACGCCTCGCTTAGTTCTCGCACTGAGTCTGCTTCCCTTGGATGATCAAACCGAGGTTGCTAGTGAGTTTTAGTACGCAGTAGAAGCTCGAGTCGGTAGAGTTCGTGTCTCCGAGTTCGATGGCTATCAGGGCCCGAAACTGGGAGAAGATGCTACAGTGCAAAGATTATGCAAAGAGCTTGTCGTCAACTCAGTTGAGAGTCGAGAGCTGGTGGTTCAGTTAACTGATTAAATTAATCAATTAACTATGAGCGAACCCCTTTTATGAAGCCAGGAGAGGTTCTTAAATAGAGAAAAGACGGCGTGGCCCCTCCTTGAATCATCATGGGATATGACCATGTACTGTTGGGAAATGCCATGCTTTTGGCTTGTAGTATGAGCGGCCGCTCAATGGGCTCGGAGTACTGTACTCCTTCCCTTCACATCATGAGGAGTGGGAAAGCCCATCCTCGTACGTGCTATTGCAGCTACCGGATACTCTGGCTAGCTCGACAAACTTTTTGATCACGGGCGGATTTAGCTCTTGACTCGTGCAGGAGAGATGAGCTTCAATCGTGAGCATACAGGCAGACTCGGTAGTTGCACGGATATGACTGGTCGCTCGTACTGTGAGCGGCTACTTGATAGGTTTGGAGTACTATGCTCCCTCTCTTCACATCGCGGGAAGTGGGAAGGCTCATCCCTATACGTGGTATAGCGGCTGTCGAGTACTCGAGTGAGTTTGGCCAGCTCGCCGTTTGCAGGCGGATTCGATGGGTTTGGAGTACTGTGCTCCCTCCCTTCATGTCGTGGGAAGTGGGAAGGCCCATCCCTGTACGCAGCATAGCGGCGGTCGAGTACACTGGCGATCCTAAATTTTGTAGGCAAATTCGCCTTTTTACTCGAGCGGGCGAGTCGAGTAAACAAGCGAATTTTAGTCATTTGGATGATCTTGACTCGTGCGGGTGAGCCAATCATACAGGCGAGTCTGTGGCCAACAAATACGAACGCATTTAGCGACCGGGTAGTTTAGGCTCGTGCTAGCGAGTCAAGTCCAAGGGTGAGCCCTACCCTCAAATTGTGTGTGCGACTCCGACTCGCAGGCGAATTTCATGTAAGTTTGCGGAGGTAATTTTTACCGTCTACAGTTATATTGACTGTGAGGTCCTTGAACAAGTCTCCCACGCTGATGTCTGAGTCCTGTCCCTCATCATACGTTTCGCCGTTTGACTGTATTGCAAAAATTAGGGTGTGGGTTCCTCTTCTTCGGATTCATCCCACAACGTGCGCAAGGGGTGATCCATTCTTCCAAAGATAATATCCTTCTGATACTTATCCTAGGCGGGCACGACGAACACAGCCTATGAGGACTCGATCGTTTGTCTTTTTGTAACATACGATGAGCACACAGGCAAGTGTAAGGAAGGATCATTGTACAACCCCGCAATTGAATCACCGATCCTGTCATCATCAGATTTCGTATACGATGATAAGTAAGCAAAGTCGAACTTCTCATTCAAGATAATCCGGTCTGCCTAATCAGCATGGGTTACATTATGGCTTTCGTAGCCGATTACAATCGATTCAAAATCATTCAGGATAAGGCTGTCAACGTATTCAGGTTCGCTATCTACTTCACTGCCGCTCCCGAGCTCCTTGATCAGTTGTTCATCGAGGTCTTAGTAGAGCAAGGAATCCGTGATGTAGTTCTCAACTTCTTTGAAGGGTTATTTGTCGACAACCACCGTTTTTACCCGATCGTAGTCATCCATGTACTTTAGGCATTGGTGTAATGTGGACGAGACTATACGGTTGTTGTGGATCCATGACTGTCCCAATAGCACATTGTAGGAAGGCTCGACATCGATGACGTAATAGGTCACCTCCATCTTCATGTCACCTATGTAACACTTTAGACGGATCTTCCCGAGCGGTCGGGTCCCAGTGGTATTAAAGCCAAAGATGGTCGTGGTTGTCGTAGATAAATGCCTCTGAGGAACCCCAAGGTGCTTGATAAGCTTCAGGGGTATAATGCTCAGCGCGGATCCTGGGTCAACTTGGATCCGATCCACCTTGGAGGAACCGATGTACCCTGTGAAGTACAAGGGTCGATCATGGGACATGATTTTGATTAGGATGTCCTAAGGGGTGAATGTGATGCAGGGGACCCATTGTTCGGTAGCCTGACTACATTGTGAACACTCCCTTCCCGTATATCCCTCTCTAGCAGGTGAGAAATGCATGGCAAAATCTTCAGAGTCGGCTAGCGCCTCTTGTAGAGCTTCCCATATAGGTCTGGACAACTATAGGAGTTCTTACATGGTGATTCTGGCAGGAATTTTTTTAACTATGCAAGCACGTTGAATCAGAAGGGTTTGACTACTCGAGCTTGGCCCTTCGGGATTCTGATGGGCTATTGCATGTGGCCCCGTGGAGGGTCCTGGCAGATCCTCTGTCCTTAAAGGGTAGTTCTTAGCGAATTCCCTTCTCGCTCTAGTGGCCAAAGCGACAGCCTCTTCATCAGAGTTAGTGAGGGCAGTTACCCCTGCTTTGTCTTCATCTGGGATAGAAAAGATGGCATTGCAGGTCTTACCTTTGGTCTTCCTTAAAGGCTTTGAAGCCCACTGCTCATCACCGAGGAGGTATGGGTGGACCCACACCACCTGCTCTAATGGCAAGGTCTGTGATACTAAGCATTTTCCTTGTTGATTAGGAGGATCATTATTAGTAATCTTCAGCATCGCCTTGGGGATAGGAACTAATCCTGTTGACGCCCGAACTTCTGAGAGATCCTTCCGAAACTCAAGGTGATCATGTTCGTGGTCACCTTCTTTTGCACATTCTCCTTTTTTAGGACCCCCGCGTCGTAGAGGACCTGAAGCTTATCTTTGAGGATATAACATTTGAAGGTATGGTGACCGAGGAATCTGTGGTATGCATTGTAGCTTGGGTCACCGGTCTTGTCAGCCTCTTCAGGCTTGGTGGCTTTTGGTAGCTTAATCCTGTTGCTAGTAAGAAGAGTGTTGAAGTTTGCTACTACTTGGTCCTCCTTGAAGTCGTATTGCCTAGGAGGGATCTGCTCAAACGGCCTAGGTTTTAGCCTTTGGGCTGATTTGGGTGCCGGAGCAGAGTCAATAGCCATGATCTCCTTTCCTCTTGATTGAGGGGAATTCTTAGGTGCGTTCAGTTCCGCAGCTCCTTTTTTGGGATGAGGCTCCTCGGCCTCCAGCCTTTTGATCATATTCTCAACCAGTTCGCCCTGGAGAACGAGTTCTTTCCAGGTTTGGGTTTCTACCGCGCCATCCTTGGATAGAATGTGGATCAAAAAATTATTGCGGCACATCTCAATCAGCGTGGCTTCGGAGACTTGGTCTTGGTAATAAACTGACCGATTCCTAAACCTCTTCACAAAGTCTTTGACTGACTCCGACTTCCTTTGCTTTTTAACAAGGAGGGTGGCCATCGACACCTCTGTGTCATCATCGAAGAAGCGGGCCAAGAAGTGTCTTTCTGCATCGGCCCATGATGTAATAGAGCCCGGTTCCAACTTGCAGAACCATTCGAACGCTACTCCATTGAGGGTGCCAATGAACAACCGAGTGAGGATAGCATCATTCCCCGTGAGGAATTCGGTCTGAGATATAAAGTAGTAGATGTGCTGTGAGGGGGAGCCCTTGCCATCAAACTGTACCAAACTGATGGGCTTGAACTTTGCTAGGTAAGGGATTGTGTCCCACTCGATAGGGTATGGCCTTACTACCCCCATCTTGTTCATGTTTTGCTGGAGCTTCAAGGCATTGAGTTATCTTTGGAACTCATCAAGTCTCTTGTCTCGGGCAGTACCCCCAGTATGCGATGTCCCTATCGACGACTTGGAAGAGTGATCCGAATGCGGATCAATGTTACCTTCTAGTTCAGTCGTCTGATTAGGAGTGGGTTCCCATTCCTTGTTTCTTCTCAGCTTCCGCAGGGTACACGTAGCCCTTTTCTTCTTTTTCTTCTTGTTCAGAAGTTGTTCCAACATATCCTTTGTGGACTCGATGGTGGCTTGATGTTCTTCAAACTTTTTGAAGATTGTTTGATCCTCCGCGGTTTCTGCCATGTGCACCCTCACTAGTTCGTCTTGAATCGAGTGTGTGGTTTAGGATGTGGCTGCTGCTAATCAAACCTCATCTTCGCCACTCGAAGGAGACGATAAGAGTGCATAATCGAGCGGAACGGTTGCTCTCATATGAGTACGGGTGCACAAGAATATACCTTCATGCTCGCATTGAACAAGCGGGTTATTAGGTCCCAGGAAAGAATCCGAGTCTGGGGAATTTAGGAGCATAGTTTTACCCTTCCCCGTCATGTTGACCATAGCAGATGGGAGCTCTAAATCATCGATGACGTGCCTCGTTTGGTAGCTATTCCTTCGACAAGAAGATCTCGACTTTGGAGGCTGTTGAGAAAGCCTTTCAAACACCAAAAGTCTCGTTGTTCCTATACACCGATAGTCAGTGAGTACTGCTTGACTAAACAATTCCTAGTGACATTGAGGATTCGCCTCATGGATGGTGTACTTGCAGGCTAGATGATCCCGAAGATCTCCCGCAGGTCGCTGGTGACATCCCCAGTATCAGAGGGGCCATGCATGTGATTGCATGAGAGAGTTTTAAATGAACTCCCTTGATTACACTATGTGGGACGGTTAAGCGTCAAAGTCTGGCGAGCTTGCCTTAACGGGTGAGTTCTTACGTACGGGCGAGTTCCCTCGTTTGACAAGCTTCGACTATTCATGTCTTCAGGTAGGCCTGATGGGGCTCGTTTGCCACCTCGCCAAGGTTGGTTTGCTTGACTCATGCTGGCGAGTCAAGCACGCGGGCACGCTCCTTTCGTGCCTCTTGAGTGGATTTGACTCGTGCTGGCGGCTTAAGCCTGTAGATGTAATCAACCTCTTGATGGTGGGTTTTTTAGGTCCTCCTACAATCAAGGCAATTTTTATAGCCTACAAACTCGAAGGGCCAAGACCCCTTCATCGACTCGAAGTGGCAGAGACCTTCTAGTCGACTCAAATGGTCGAGACCCCCTCATCGACTCTGAATGGCTGAGACCCCCCTAGTCGACTCCAAATGGCCGAGACCCCCCTTATCGACTCCAAGTGGCTGATACCCCTTTATTGACTCGAAGAGATGAGACCCCCTCATCGACTCGAAGGGCAGGGTCAGTCCGCACTTCAAAGACCAAGTTGCCAAGACCTTCTAGTCGACTCGCCAAGACCAAGTGGCCGAAACCCCTCATCGACTCGAAGTGGCTGTGACCCCCTCGTCAACTCGAAGTTGCCGAGACCCCCATCGTTGACTCGAAGGGCGGTGCTAGCCTCCTGTTCAAAGTCGACTCGCCAAGGCCTCGAGACAACACCCCTTCATGTTGACTCGAAGGACGGTGTCAATCTCCCTCCCGAAGTCGACTCGCCAAGAAGATCTCAGGACGACACCCCTTCCTGTTGACTCAAGGGCGGTATCAGTCTCCCTCCCGAAGTCGACTGGCCAATAAGATCACAGACAACAGCCTTTCTTGTTAACTCGGAGGTTGGTGTCAGTCTCCCGCTTAAAGATGACTTGCCAACATGAGTCGGACCCGCCTGAAGGCTTGAAGCTTACCTCTAGTCTTGAGCTTGCCTAAAGGCTAAGCTTGCCTGACAGACCTGCTAACACGTTTTTCAACTACCCACTTGGGGTATAAGAACAGTCACATCAATGATCATATCCTACATTTTAAGGGGGAGAGCATGACGCTCCTCACTTAGGCATGGCCATGTCCTACAAATCAAGGGATTAGCTAGATCTCTCCTATTTCTACAAATAGCCATTGATGGCTACAAGATAGGGTGACTGACAGGACCCTATATAGCAGTCACATCCCATAGCTATATGGGAGTATGCTACTCCCTACCCTTAGGTGGTCACATCCTACAGATAGGGTGGTTGGTGCTCCTCACCCCTACTAGTGGTCAAATCCCATAAATAAAGGGATGACCCATATCATCCCTTGCCTATTAAATCCAGCTTGGACCAACGTTCAAGAGGCTGCTTGGAATCGGATTGAATCTACTAGAATCGGACCGAATTTGCTGGAAGTGGCTCTTCAGATAGGGACCTTCATTAGCTTGCTTAGTAGAACATTCTTGGCTATAAGCTTAGATTGTTGAAGTAGATTCAATCTAAACTCTCAAATCCGAGGCTCATTGGCTTTACAAACTATTGCATTGTAGCCCTCTCTAAGCTACCGACCTTGATATTCATCAAGATCAAGTAGTTGACTTCTGACAGTCAAGCATTTGGCCTACAAGCACAAGCACTTGTTTGGCCTTGGGTAGACTCGAACCTAATCACCTCGAACCTTCTACTGCGTACTGAAGTTCCAACCGTGATGTTGATCGTATCGTCTAAGGGAAGCAAGCTCGACTCAAGCACCGAGGGAGGCGTATTATCGCTACCAAAGAATCCACGTTAAATAAGGAGAGCCTTCTCTTTGCTTCTATCGTAAATCCCGGATTTCCTTGATTTGTAACAAACACTCAAATAATACAAATCTTGGATCGAGACCCATTTTTTACACCCAACAGAAGATGGCGACCACAGTGGGAGAAACCGTTTCTTCAACTGAAATAGTGGTGGTATAGTATGACGAGGTTGTGGCGGGGATAACTATTGAGTCCCTCATGATCAAGTTTGAAGAGTACTTATCTTCATCCTTCTCTGGCAGCAATACGTCTCACAAGTACTGCAGAGTCGCGCATGTGGCCCAACCCTAAGAAGTCGAGGCAACCATGCCCGAGAGCTCTACCCGACCTATAGCAGGGGGTCCTATACCCCCTAAGCCAGCCAAGGCTGAGCTGATAGGCAAGGTCGAGCTGATAGGCAACCAGCCAAAGGGTTACTTGTTGGGCTGCTAAGTAATCCACATAGGCCCCCGTGCAAGAGGAGACCCCGGTTCAGGTAGACTACCATGCCTTCACCATCGACATGAGTCCCCCCCCCTCTTCTCCCAAAGAGCCAAGCAAAAGTGATGACAAGATCTCGCCCGCCAAGCCCTCGTCTCATATGATGGCTTGAATTACTATTAGGCTTGAAAAGATCCAAGCCAAAATACAATGTTCTTGAAATAGGCGAACATGGTGTTTTAGGCATGTCTAGCAGTTCAGGCGAGCCCCATGAACTGCACTCTGTGAGCAAGGTTCCCAATTCTTGGTGAACCACTCAAATCGGGCGAGCCCACCAATTCAGGCGGGTTTTACCAAGCTCGCCTGACGGTCCAGCTTCATCTGCAAGCGCCGGAAAGGCGAAGCAGTAGCTTGCCAGATCAGTGCAGTGCACCAAGCTCGCCCAACAGGCAAGCCTCACCGTGATGAACTTCACCCACGAGCCTAAGCTCGCCTGTCAAGCCAAAAGTCCTAAGTCCCCTAATCAGGTGAATTCAACAAGACATGCAAACCCAACAAGTCAAGCAAGCTTAGCTCTACAAGCCGACTGCCTGTTTCAAGCGAGACTCACCCTAGCAACAGAATCCCCCAATCGGGTGGACTTGGCAACTCAGGCGAACCTACTCGTTCAAGTAGGCTTTGCTCCATTGCCCGAGTCCCCAAAACTAGTAGACTTGATATCTTGGACGAGTCTGACACTTCAAGCAGGACTCCTCTCATATCAAGCAGACTCCGTTCTTCAAGACACCTGGACGAGTTAATCAAGCCACCTAAAACAGGCAAGTTCCAAGACTCAGGCGAACGACGCCCTCGAGTAGGCGAACTTCACACAACGGGCACACCTCGCCTGAACAAACAGATGGGTCGAGCTCGCCAGCAGTCGGTTGAGGCTCGCCCAAATACCAAACCTTACTAGCAGTCGGCTTAAGGTTTCACAAATGCTCAAGCTTGCCTGTAGTTGGCTAGAGATCGCCTACATTCTATACCTCGCTTGTCTCGATGAGGTCGGCCGAATCCGACACTTAGGGAATTTCCCAAGTGTCCTCATGTCGTCTCTTTTAAGCCTCCTTCATCTGACTTCACATCTGGTCCTTCAAATGCTGAGGGTTGCCACCACCAACACGTGGGAGATCTTAGTGCTCATCTGATTCGTATGCGCACTATTCACGAGACAAACTCTTAGTGCCATTGCGGGAGACTCATCCAGGCAGTACTTACGGATTGTCGATGTTCCGAGGCGTCAAAGCATTCAGCGTTTAAGAGGCTTTCTCAACAGTCTCCTGAGCCGAGACCTCTTCGCCAGAGATGCAATCATCAGAAGAGACGAGCATCTAATGATGTTGAGCTCCCCACCGTAACTATCAATATAATGGGGAAGTCCATGGCCATTGACTGTGAAAGTATCCGTTAACACACTCACACTCGAATGGGGGTGGCTGTTCCGTTTAACTACACATACCTAGCACCCGTCTCGGACGACGACGATGATGATTGCTCGGCAGTGGCAATGTCTCAGGCTTCAAGCTCTTTTCAGGGAAAAAGCACGGAAGTACACATGACCAACATCCCTGATGAGATATCTAACAAACTCGACGAGCAACAAGCAACCATCAACTCCTTGAAGTAAATGATGGAGCAATTTCTGAATAAGAAGAAGAAGAAGAAAGAGAGGACATCGTGGGTTTCACGTAAATCCTTGAAGCATAAAGAGCAGGTGCCTGCTCCTTCTCACTCCTTATCCGCGTCATCTGGAGGAGCGCCATCTTCAGGTCATAATCTAAGGGACAAAAGGCTCGACGAGT